AGCAGGAATATTAGGGGGTTTTCAGCACTAGTTGATTATCCTGGTTTGGCAAAAGAAAATTTTTACCCATCAAGAATAATACAGATTTATTTTTAACTTGTGGAGGGGTAGGTTTGTAGGGAACTACTTGAGGATGGAGTTATTCTGTTCTAAATTTAAAAGCTTATGGTGTTGGTCTCAATAGTGAGTCTTGATTTTTTAAGTACTCATCTAGTTCTCAGAAACTCATTTATGTAATAACTCTTAGTCTGCTATAAAATACTGTACCTTTCTAACAGGTGATTTCTTTTTTTTTTTTCCTTTTTTTTCCTCTCCCCTTCAGGAGTTGATAGATGATTTCATCTTTCCGGCATCGAATGTTTATCTACAGTACATGAGAAATGGAGAACTGCCTGCTGAGCAGGCCATCCCAGTCTGTAGTTCACCAGCTACTATTAATGCTGGGTTTGAGCTACTAGTTGCACTAGCAGTTGGATGTGTGCGAAATCTCAAACAGATAGTAGATACCTTGACTGAAATGTATTACATAGGTACAGCAATCACTAGTATGTAATATTTTTAATTATCTATTTTCTACTTTTCAATGTATATATAATGTATAAGTTTTGCTTATATTATCAGCTGAACTAGATGTTGAATTTTTTCATTTGGGGATTGTGGCTGCTTTTAATGTTGCACAACCAGGTTGTCAGAATCTAGAAAAGTTTGTCAGTGTAGCCTTTGCTCTTCTTTATGCAGTAAATGGACTGACTTGCATTACACAGTTGCATCCCAGTTCCAGCCCCATTCACTTACCCGGTCTTGACCCTTTCTGCCCTGATCTCTGGCTACTTCCCTTTGTACATACCAGCTCCCGGGAACCTCATTCTGTCTGTATCTTCTACTTTTATCTCATCGTTTCAGGCTCTGCCTAACCAATCCCAGAACCACATCAGGTATCTTCAGCTCAGTTTTAGTGCCAGTCTCTTGGTTGCTCACCTGATTTGTCATAATTGTCCACACACAGACACAGGTCCACTGTCCTGTTTCCCTTTTGAGTTCTGTACTCATTCTCTGCTTGTCACAGTCCTTTCTCAAACGTTTGTTCTCTCAGTTTTGGCCTTGTCTGAGCAAAGCTCTGCACTTAGGGAACTTTCTCCTTGCTGGAAAAAGATGATAGAAATTGCAGTACGTACAATTGCAAATGTTAGTGTTTCAGAAGCTGATAGTCAAATGGAACTTGGGATAATTTTCACATGGAAGGCAAAAGGCTTGTACTCAAGATGGATTTTTATTAATAAAAAGCATGTCAGACTTTCTTAAAGATGAACAAGCAGGAGTGTATTTTCTGTGTCCCTAAACAGGATAGCTAAACTATTTTGGCTGTAATATTAATGGGGAGAAAACTGAACCAACAACAAACAGCCAAAACCAAGCAAACCCCAGCTTGGCTGGGAAGAAAGGCTGAGAAAGGTAGGTCAGCCTGAAGAAAGCAAGCTCTGGGGAGACCTTACTCTGGCTTTTCAGTACCTGAAGTGGGCTTATGAGAAAGATGGAGAAGGGTCTTTTTACCACAGCCTATAGTGACAGGACATGGTGTAATGATCTTAAACTGAAAGAGGATAGATTTAGAGTGGACATAAGGAAGAAATTCTTTTTGATAAGGGTGGTGAGACACTGGAACAGTTTGCTCGGAGTAGTTAAAGGTGCCCCATTGCTGGAAGTGTTCAGGCTCAGGTTGGGTGGGGCTTTGACCATCCTGATCTAGTGACAGATGTCGCTGCCCATGACAGAGGTTTGGACTAGATGATCTTTAAAAGGTCCCTTCCAGCCCAGACCATTCTGTGATGTGACAGAATGTTTAAACTTGCAGAGTTTAGCAAAACTATAAGCGACTAGTAATAGTATCCCCTAGCAGGGATTGTCCCCTGCCTCTCACAAGGGCAATGCTACTTGCCTAGTTGGTGGTATCAGTGAGTCGTTTCAGGTTTTTCAATCTCTTCCTGTTTGGTTCCATCTCAGATGAACAAATGATAAGGACGACTTTATGGTTTTCTCTCCTGCATCATCCTTTTCACCTTTTTTTATTGGGAAGTAGTGTATTTCTTATCACCTCACAATTACAAGGATTTTGTGGCATTTCCTTCCACTCAAATACTTGATAAGCACAGTAGAACACCAGATCTCCATGGTATTGCAGACAGAAGAGAGAACACATGTATGAACTGTGCATGCTGTGTGTTTCATACACCAAGTAAAGCTTGCTTGTAAACATGCATGCTCCTTTACTTTCTTGTACATCAGAATTTTTTCCATTAGAACCACAAGTGGTAAGGGTAGGAAACCTGTGATCGTAAATGTACTCAGAAGAGAAGTCTGAGGTAGAAGACTTAAGAGAAAAAAGTTAAGTCATATAAATAGCATTATCTAAACTCCCATCCTAGCAAGGAAAAGTGAGGCACAAATGAACTATTTTAATTTTAAAAGGAAGATAAATTTGTGAAAGGCTTATAAATTGAGTATATGTTCAGCTGAATTCTTCAGCTAAAAAGCTTGCTGCTATTGAGGGAAGATTTCTGTTTAACACATAAATTTGGTACATAAATGAATTTTATCTGGCCACCTTTTTAGTTATGCTTTAGAAGAAAATGGTTTAATGTTAACACAGATAACACAACTTCTGCAAACAGTAGTTCTAATTTTAGCAATCAACTTTTCTGGTGGAACATTCATTTTATTAAATTACACTGTGATATAGACTAATACTTATTTTATGCAACCGCCCTTTGTACTGCATTGGTAGTTTAATTCTTTTATAACAAGATAGTTTCTTCATCACTTTCTGCTATTCTCTTTTAGCTTGTGAAGCGCTTACAGAATGGGAGTATCTACCACCTGTTGGGCCTCGACCACCAAAGGGATTTGTAGGACTCAAAAATGCTGGTGCCACTTGTTACATGAACTCTGTCATTCAGCAGCTGTACATGATTCCAGCCATCAGGAATGGAATTCTTGCAATTGAAGGCACAGGCAGTGATGTAGATGATGACATGTCTGGGGATGAAAAGCAGGACAATGAGGTAAATTTCATTACGTAAAACTTGCTTATCTTTAAAATAGAATTATTTTTATGAAAAGTTTGTAACAAATTTAATTTCCTAATAACTTTGCTTTCCATTGCTGGCAGTGGGTATAATAGCATAATATTTCTTACTTGAATAGTCTCACTGCCAGAGAGGCAGATCTAAGAATTAAAGCAGCAGGGTTTGCTGACTTCCTCCTCATGGATTTGTACTTGAAAGTATCACACACCACTTCCGCCACCAGAATTCTGCTAATGCATACAAAGACATTATTTGTTTCTAAAGGTGTCACATATTTTCATCTGAAGATTGTTAAATTGAACAAGAAGTAGAACTAGCTGTGAGACAGCCACGTGTCAAAGTTAATTGCACAAATTTTCTTCTGCTTTTCAGAGCAACGTTGACCCACGAGATGATGTGTTTGGTTATCCACATCAGTATGAAGACAAACCAGCACTGAGTAAAACAGAAGATAGAAAAGAGTACAATATTGGAGTTCTGAGGCATCTCCAAGTGATTTTTGGTCATTTAGCAGCTTCCAGGCTACAGTACTATGTACCAAGAGGGTTTTGGAAACAATTTAGGTAAATAGAAAATTAGTATTGATCAATTATCAATTTTATATTGATATAAATATTGAACAAGTATCAATTTAGTATTGATACCTGTTCAGTGGACCACTGAAATACAACACAACTAATCACAACAGAAAAAATGATAGAGATGTTAAGTGTAAATTAGCAGAACGTACGCAGCATTGTATGTTATCCTACATTTTAGCCATTCTGTAGAACTCTGTTTTTAAACCAAACTTGGCAGGAAGATGGTTGTTTTGAATTCTAGCAGGTCTTGATCTTCATACTGAGACTTGGAATCGAGTATGAAGCTATACACAAAAGCTTGGTTTTGTTTACCACTAAGTGTGTGTTTGAGACAGAGTAACAGGTGATGTCCTATATCACAAACCAATGAATAGTTTTGCTTACCAAGAAAGAGGGATTAATGGCTTGAACAATAATTTTTTAGAAAATAAGTTATTGGAAAGTAAACCCAAAATATTTGACAAGAATGTGCTTTTTATGTTTTTTTCAGACTTTGGGGTGAACCTGTAAATCTACGTGAACAACATGATGCTTTAGAATTTTTTAATTCCTTGGTGGACAGTTTAGATGAAGCTTTGAAAGCTTTGGGCCATCCAGCAATGTTAAGTAAAGTTTTAGGAGGGTCCTTTGCTGATCAGAAGATTTGTCAAGGATGCCCACATCGGTAAGCGTTGAAGTTTCTGCTTTTTTACTGAAAAACAGCCTGTGTTTGTGTACTTCTAAAAGTGACTAAAGAGTCGTGAGTGGGAGTTTTGTGTGGTTTTGGTTTTGGGGTGTGTGTGTTTGGTTTGGTTTTGTTTTTTTTTTTTTTTGAAGCTCATAGAATTTACTACCTTTTTTTCTACAGCATTAATTTGTCTTCAAGTACCTTGAAACACTTGATTATTATTGCTTCTACATAGCAGATTATGTGTGAATACGTATGTACATTTTGTATTGATTGTGGAGGAAAAGTTACAGCTTTCTATGTTAAAAGTGAAAACAACTTGGGAACCAAATGAAGTGCATAACATTTTAAGACATGGACAGCAGCTTTTGCTTTCTTCCATGGTGTGCGCATAGAGCTGACCCAAGTGTAAATCTTTAATCCCAAAGAGTAAAACTGTTCATACTCAACTATGTAAGCTGTAATTAAGGAGAGTGGTGTACAAAGTTTATATTTCTCTTTTCTACAGTATTTTTAATTAAATTTAGGTGTGAACGCTGAAATTTAGTGTCATATAAGCTATGTAAAAACAAAACTCAGCTAACACATACCAAATCAGACTGAAAATCTGTAGCCCACTACCTTGATGGTGGTTACCAAAGGCAAATGCTTAGTGACAGAATATAAGTAGATGTTTTATAGTTGTGTATCTCTAGACTTTCTCCTGTCTCCCTTAGAGGTGGATGATTAAAATGGCCAGCAAGATTCAAGATGGCCTAACAGTGGACTTATTCTTTTTTAACAGTTGGTCTTTTTTATTATTGTTTGATTTTGTATCACTAGCCAGTTGACATTAGTAGTGTTCACTGCATCTATCAAATCATGTGTGATTCTTTAAACAATGTAGGTCTGTCTGCACATTACCATTGCAAATTCTCTTTATTGCCAAAGTCGATAATTTGCTGTTATCCTTCAGTTACTGAATAAAATACAGGGGGAAATAACTGGTGGAAAGTGATTTTATTGTGGTAATCTTTCAACTTCAGTTGAGGTCATGTGTGAGTTAGAAGAACTTTTAAGTGGAGCATCTTAAGTTTCATGGGTTAAAATGTGTGACCAGAAGTAAGCTGAAATATTGTAAGATAAAATGAAAGCACTGATTTTAGTTGCTATGCAATGGGTAACTAAATGGAAGATATGGATTTGATGCAAGATGAATTACCAGTAATTCCTGATACTATGTACTATCCAGAAGTATTACCTGTCTTTTTGGAATTCTACTGGATTTGCATAGTTGTACCTCTTAATAAAAATGTTGCCCTGATTGTAGTGTAGTTGATCATCAGTTTTCTTCTCCCTAAACTGTTGGGTTCAGGTGTAACAGATTAACATCCTTTCTAAATTTGTACTTTATTTAATAGATGAATGAATATTATTGTTTTGGTCAAAATGTGTCCAAATATTAATTTATTCACTGTTATAAAACCCTTGGTATGCTCGATTGCATAGCGGAGAAGTAAGACCTGCAGGGTTGGAATAGGTGCAGCTTTTAAAATTTATTCATCACTTCTTGATCTTTACAAGAGAAATCAAATTGTTTCCAAGATGTCTGGTTCGTTGCTAGGAATTTGTTTGAAGGTTGTATCAGAACAGAGTAAGTAAAAGCCAGTCATACATACATTAAGTGATTTTATGAATACAGCTATCCAGGTTATTTCAACTAGAAAAATAAATGACTTTTGTTTATTTAGTAAACTCGAATCTGTTTTGAACTGTTCTCTTTAGGTATGATATACAATATTTGTATTTATCAGTCTAATTCCTGACCATGAAGGCCAGCAATGGAAAAAATACTCTACTTTGCTATCTGTGCTTCTCTGCTAGCTTAAGTTAGCCAGGAGAGTCTATCGTGCTACTTCAGCTGCTTTAAAAACAAGATGTTCTGGAAGATTCAGCTTCCATGATTTTTTCAGTGAACTTGAGACATACCTGCCCTAGACTAGACGGCCCTGCTCTGGCAGGGGGGTTGGACTCGATGATCTCTGGAGGTCCCTTCCAAACCCTAACATTCTGTGATTCATTTCTGCCTTACTCTTATTACATCTGTCTGTTCATTGGTAGGTACGAATGTGAGGAATCCTTCACAACTCTGAATGTAGATATACGAAATCACCAGAACCTTCTTGATTCTTTAGAACAGTATGTCAAAGGAGATCTATTGGAAGGTGCAAATGCATATCATTGTGAAAAATGCAACAAAAAGGTAATAATTCCTTATGTATTTAATTTGCGTGTAACCGTGATGTTACATCCTTACCAAGTTCAGTCTTGGTTTGTGTGCAGGGAAAAAAGTTATCCTTTAATTACTGAATTCAGTTGTTTGTAAGAGTATGTGAATGAACTCTAGAGCTGGTGACTGTTGGTGTCCTTTTTTAGGTGGATACAGTGAAGCGCTTGTTGATAAAGAAGTTGCCTCCAGTTCTTGCAATCCAGTTGAAACGATTTGATTACGACTGGGAAAGGGAATGTGCAATCAAGTTCAATGATTATTTTGAATTTCCACGAGAGCTGGATATGGAGCCTTACACAGTGGCAGGTGTAGCTAAATTGGAAGGAGATGATGTAAATCCTGAAAATCAGATAATACAAAATGAACAGTCTGAAAATGAACACTCTGGGAGCACAAAATACAGGCTTGTTGGTGTACTTGTGCACAGTGGCCAGGCCAGCGGTGGACATTATTACTCTTATATCATCCAGAGGAATGGTGGAGATGGGGAGAAGAATCGGTGGTATAAATTTGATGATGGAGATGTGACAGAGTGTAAAATGGACGATGATGAAGAAATGAAAAATCAATGTTTTGGTGGAGAATACATGGGTGAAGTATTTGATCACATGATGAAGCGTATGTCCTACAGACGCCAGAAGAGGTGGTGGAATGCTTATATACTTTTTTATGAACGTATGGACACAATAGACAAAGACAATGAACTCATAAAATATATTTCAGAACTCGCTATCACCACTAAGCCCCATCAGATTAAAATGCCATCAGCCATTGAACGAAGTGTACGGAAGCAGAACGTACAGTTCATGCATAATCGGATGCAGTACAGCCTAGAATACTTCCAGTTCATAAAGAAGTTACTTACTTGTAATAGTGTCTACTTAAATCCTCCTCCAGGTTAGTATGTTACTGCAATAATTATGGATTAATTCCTTGCAAGAAGAGTTTTGATTTGTGTTGTCAAGAATTTGTACATCCAGTGAAAATTCTGTGCATTCTGCTTTGAATACTCTGTCTTTCTGGACTTCTGCAGTAAAACATCTCTTGTTGAGTTGTTCATCACTGATAATAACGTGCCAGAATATTTAGCAAAAAATACTTAAATAAACTATCAAGTGTTATTCAGCTTATGTGCTGAGTAATGTTAAAATACTTAAGATTGGGGGATGTTGTGCTGAAGACAGCTCTCAAAGGTGATATGCTGAATTTCTAAAAATCAGACATATGTTAGCTTCTGTGTACCTGTCTTAAAGCTCACATCTTCAAATTGTATATTCTAGAAGCTAAGGACTGTTTTGATCAAGTTTTTTGGTAAAATTGGAACACAGTGTCAGACAAAATAGTAATGTGGACTTGGTTAAATTATTTAAAGTAAATTGCTTTTACTTTGTCTACATGTGAGTATTTTGATTTTTCTTTAGGACAAGATCATCTGTTGCCTGAAGCAGAAGAAATAACTATGATTAGTATTCAGCTTGCTGCTAGATTTCTCTTCACCACAGGATTCCATACAAAGAAAATAGTCCGTGGCCCTGCTAGTGATTGGTATTTTGTCTTCTAACAATTACAGTTTTGGAAGTTTGATGTCTCTTAAAAGGTCCCAGTTATATGCATATGACAGTAAAAGATGGTAGTGGTCTGTCCCATTTTCCCCTCTCCACCAAATACATGGTCAAGGTGCACATGAAAAGACAGGAAAATTTCAACAGATAATACTGGGATGAAACTGAGCCTTAAAATAAGCTGCTGGGCTGAACAGTTTCAAAGTTCATTTCCAAACAGAGCTTTAAGTCTACCTCTTGTCTGTATTTTTAAAAGAATAAAGGAGTAAAATCTATAGCTAGTTCAAAACTAATAGGCTGTGTATTCTGGCCAATACAGAATGGTTTGTTTATGCTTTGAGTAGTTCGTACACAAAGCTGTTTTCAACCCATTTTTGTAGGTTTTTTTCATCTTATATTTGTGTTCTACTTCTGAAACAGTTTTATAGTCTTTTAGACTCTGTTAGCAGACTGATTTATGTACATTGCTACGGGGCCTGTGATTCATATCTGTAGTATAACAAACAGCACAATCTTAATCATAGCACCACAGCATTTTAATATAAGCTTGGTTATTCTGTGGTGGGGAGAGAGGCATGTGGATTACTACTTGTAGAGCTAGGGAGAAAACATAGTATTGAGGATAACCAGTAGTTTACCAGCTGCTGGTAGGTAGTTGCATAATACATGGCAGCTATGTACCTCAGGTTTTTCTCCAGTAGCTTTCAGAGTAGTTAAGTTACTCCTGTTATTTTGAGACAGCAAGAGGAGTTACAATATTGCTGCAGGAAAGCTCATGTAAGGTCCTTTCTGGAACAGATATTTACTCTTTTGGTTTTTTTCTAGTGTAGATCTGCAAATGAGAACCTGAATTCCTGACAGGTTACATATTAAGTTACCTGTCTTACAGCTCATGAAATCCACTTCACATATTCTCTGCTGCTCACCCTCTTCACCAGTTCCAAGACAGAGCAAATGATGGCTGCCAAATTAGGGCCCACTTTGAGCAGCAGTGTGGGAGTTGCAGATGTAATCCTGTCTTAGCTCTTATGGGTGGTGGCAGTAAAATGCTACTGTTAAATGTTAATTTCTTAATGGAAGTGGATTTTTAATTTGTGATTGCTAGTAACAGCGTATTGCTGTAGGAACTGCAATTTGTCTGATTGTAAGCGTTTAATGAGCAAAAATATTTGAGGATTTGTATTTCTTCAAATTTTGCAAAATATGTCTGCCAAAAGGAATATCTACGTTCAGTCAGTCTCTCAGCTGTGTCATCTTCTGTTCCAGGTATGATGCACTATGCATCCTTCTTCGTCACAGCAAGAATGTACGCTTTTGGTTTGCACACAACGTCCTTTTTAATGTTTCAAACCGCTTCTCGGAGTATCTCTTGGAGTGCCCTAGTGCAGAAGTGAGGGGTGCATTTGCAAAACTTATAGTATTTATTGCACATTTTTCATTGCAAGATGGACCATGTCCTTCACCTTTTGCCTCTCCTGGACCTTCCAGTCAGGTATTTAGTTTTCTAATGAAATTTTCTAGCTTCTGAAATTTAGTCTTAGTTCTTCATTATAAACATTTAATGTAAAGTAAATTCTGGAGTTGATGCATCAGTGCTGACAGGAAAAGTATGCAGTCCATTTTGCACTACGTAACACAATTCTCATTGCTGTCAGAGGGTCTCACTTTCCCCTCAGCTGTAAATCTCTATGAAGGTCAAGTAGTGAGAACTTTGAGTTGAGTTGCGAGTATGAAATAAAACTTGTGGCTTATAATAAAATAATGTGTAGGGGAGTGCACCCTTTTTTTTTTTTTTTTTAATTGGAATTCCATGGTATTTAGTCATCAGAGACTTACTCCTATGTCTGTCTGTCTTTGTGTGAGATACAGAAGACTAACAAGCTGCTAGTATTTTGGGTCTTGTATGTATCCCATACCTTTTAACCAATTCTGTTCTCTGCCCAAGTAGAAAGTATAAACTAAATAAAGATTTGATAGGTTCAGCCACTAACATTGACTTCTTTTTTTTTTTAGACTTATGATAACTTAAGTTTAAGTGATCACTTGCTGAGAGCGGTACTAAATCTTCTAAGAAGGGAAGTATCTGAACATGGGCGCCATTTACAGCAGTATTTCAATCTGTTTGTGATGTATGCCAATCTAGGTAAGCACATAACACACACTTTTACTGATGACACTGACTTAAACTGGTTTTTGTTAATGACTCAGTTACACAGGTCATTAAGAGAGCTTGTTTTTTTCAGCCTCAGACAGATTGTTATCCATTAAATGTCATGCAGATGCTCTAGAGAGCATTTATATTTCTCCAGTTTGGGCCTGTAGTCTTCCTGCCATCCTTGGAAGATGGATCAACACGAACAGCTTGTAGGAATAAGACTGTGTCCTTCCGAGACAGTGTCAGGGTTCAAAAAATGGCAAGAGAGATCATGTTTTGTTAAGGGCTCATTTGCAGAGAGGTCATGAGACCCAAGAAGCACGTGGGGTTGTCAGCTGGTTTGAGCCTAAGAAGTTGAGGAAAATGAAAGTTCAAAAAAGCAAGAGGTGCATAATTCTCCTTTATGGAAAGTCAATATGGTTGGTCATGCTCTGTACGTTCCAGCTATGGCCTTTCAAAATTAACTTCTTTAACCATTGAAGTTCACAGCTAGGAATGCAGAACATCCTGGCACTTCCAACATCACCCATTTTTCTTCAGGATCCTAATTGTACTCCTCATTAGGAAAACAGAAATAAAATTTAGATTTATAAGTATACCAAAACTTGTGCTAAATCCAGGATCATGTAGGTTCTTTACACAGAAGCTCACTTGGCTGTATACTAAGAATAGAATAAAATAATACTAACAATATCTGAAGTAACTATTCCAACAGAAGCAATTTCTGCAGTTGAACTGAATTCAGTCCCATTCACGTCCAAACGAAAAGTCGTAATCATGCTTTCTCATAGCATTGCCAGCATGCTGAAAATCAACTGATGATTCTTTCAGTAAACTGTGTCTCATGTGGGTTAATCTGTTGCCACTTTATATGTTTGCCCTGAGGAAGAGCAGTTAAGAGTAACAAAATCCAAGTCAAAGGAATGCAGGAGTGCTTTTGCATTCTCAGGTTGATGAGGGTAGTTACAAGTTCATATCTACTGAATTGTCACAAAGTTCTGCATTCTTGCTTTCCCAAGTTATTAGGGTCTTACACCAAGGGGCCCATCTCACTTTCACGTATGGTAGGCTGAGTAACAAAACATCTTTGTATGGCAGGTCCTAAACAAGAGACCATACTCTTCCACTAGTGGTGTCTGTTGGGAGTTGTAGTCAATTACACTCTCCCTCTGACTCTATAAGAGGATGAAAATATCCATTAATATTTCATCCTTTTAAGTACTACTATCATGTAGTTGTGAAGCTAGGAGGTGCAGTTCCCTTGGGAATTTTACAAAATGCCCATAATACTGAGCAGCTCAACCATTGCTGCTTATGGACTTGTGCAAGCAAATTATATATGTGACTTTCTGTTAGATTACTTTGTGGCTAAAGTGTTAATCAAGTGGATCAGTCCAAATGGAGTTACTTCAGTGTTTCCACATTAGAATTGATGCACACACATGCAGAGTTCTGGGAGCACTTTAATGTGGGTACAGAGTTTTTAAAGGAATTTAGTTTCCTATCTGTAAAATTAACCTACGTAATTTTGTTATTTTAATTTCACTGATAATGTATATTACTTTACATACTCTGTCTACCAAAGCATTCTCAGGCAGGGTTCCATCATGACCCACAGAGTGGACTTAATGTCATTAAGAGAAGACAGATTCAGTTCTTCTGCTCTAACTTATATTTCCTTCTTTACTGCCTTCTCATAGTCAGTCAGTGCCTTTGAAGTCTCTGACTAGGAAGGCACTCAGAAGCCAGATGGGAAGGCATAACTAAGTTTTATATGTGGGTGTGATCATTATCACAACCTATCCTGCAAAGATAAAGATGGAAATCATAGAATCATTTAGGTTGGA